ACAGGCATACAGTATGTGAGCCAGTAAACCAGAGGAGACAGGCATACAGTATGTGAGCCAGTAAACCAGGGAACACAGGCATACAGTATGTGAGCCAGTAAACCACTAGGGGAGACAGGCATACAGTATACTATATACAACGTCACATTTATTGTTTCAGCCATTCCTGGTTCATTGTCATTGGCTAACAGTGGGTTATTGGGTCCTATAACTGGACAATTTTATGATCGTTTTGGGTGTACCAGAGCGATGTTGCTTGGCGGATCCATCAGTTTTATTGGTCTATTTACGTCATCATTTGCACCGAATTCTGGTATTCTAATACTCACATTTGGCATGATATTTGGGTCAGGTTTGTCTCTGGTTTTTCTGAGCTCTTTACTGGTCATACCGGAGTATTTTAAGAAATATGCTTTTCAAGCAACTTCGCTGGTGTCTGTTGGTCCAGGGGCAGCATTACTGGTGATGAGTCCTGTTGTGCAGCGTTTGTTTCAAACATTTGGTTGGAGAAAAAGCATGAAAGTCATGAGTGGTTTGGCATTTTGTCCTTGTATTGTGGGATTAATGATGTGTGCCTTTAAAGGAAAGGAAGTACCAACAAGACACTCTTATACTGAGCGAAACCGCCAAAACAGCGATTTAGAACCAAGTAAAACGAGATGTAATGGACTCATTAACGTGTCTGTCTTCAAAAACAAGGTTTATGTGTTGACGTCTGTTATGGTTACCATCACATCGCTGGGACATATGATGCCGTTTGTTCATTTGGTAAGAAATAGATATATATTACATAGAGGAGAGGAGAGGAGAGGAGAGGAGAGGAGAGGAGAGGAGAGGAAAGGAAAGCAGAGGAGAGCAGAGGAGAGCGGTGAGAAGATTTGTCGCAAAATTAACCGGCACTCGCAGGTTCAAGGATGTTATATCTAGGCTGTCAATCCAAGATGGCCGGGCATTCCAGTTGTAAAAACAATTATTTTTAACGACTTCCTGTTTTAGAAAAAAAGACTAARCAATGTAAAATAACTGTCTGCTATAATTCTACTATAATTCTTTCTCAAGGCGAAATACTGTGAAGATATTGGGATTCCGAGTGACCACTCATCATGGATCTACTTCTCGATCGGTCTCTCTTCGTTATTATCAAGAGTCTTAGTAGGAAAATACGGCAACACTAGCCTAATAACACTTCCACATATCTACCAACTTGGTGCTTACATCCTGGCTGTAGGGAATCTATTATTACCTTCATTAAATGAGTTCTACTTGTTAATAATGTATGGTATCGTCAATGGCGTTGGCGAAGGTCTTGTGTTTACGTCATCTTTGCATATTGTCTTGGATAGTCTACCATCTCGAGGCAAGGGAGTCGCTTATGGGATATATGTTTTTTTTGTATCTCTGTCTTATGCAGCAGGCTCGCCCTTTTCAGGTAAGCAGGGACTGACTTTTCTAGCTTGGGCGTAATGTTTTCCCATTTCAAACCGAGTGTTATTCACTCTTTGAGAATAATATTCTTTGCTTGAGTTGTATCCGATATTCATGTGTCTTTTCATGTTCCAAAACCCTTAAATAAAGAAATGATACTCAAGTTAAGGAAATGGTATGTGGCTTAAAATGGTAAAGCATCACGGCAATATAAAGAATAAATTTAAAGAGGTCATTAATCCCATAATATGCGCTAACACTTTTCCGCCATAATGGATTTTTTTAAATAGCTTTCTCAGTGACACAGGAAGCCCGCTTTCAATGGAACTGAGTGTAAGAATAAAAGTAAAGTCAAAACAAAAGTCTACTATTAAAATTTACATTTGCATCATAAAGACAATCTATTGTAAAAGTAATATTATAAGTTTATTTTTTAAATTATGAATTATCTAACTCATTAAGTTTAAACTCTAAATGGAGGTCCCTGACTGCGTCCCTGTGTTTCTAGACTCTGAAGAAGTGCTCACACATCGACTTAAATTATGACTAAGCATTATAAATCACATTATTAAATGAAATTAATATCTATGTTTTTAGGTTTGATAGCCGATGTGACTGGATTCTATAGTTATTCCTTCTATACCGCTGGTTCGTTAGAGGTCGTGGGCTCAAGTCTTCAATTTCTTTCTCGTTTTCTTCACAAAAACAACGAAGAAAAAGATGTTGAACATTCTTCACAAAACTTGATTGTCACAGAGAAGGAAACTGTTTCATAATAATGCTTATGAAATTATAAACCCTTTAAAAATACAAATGCATTTGGACATTCCGACGTTGTTCCGATACCAGCGTTGGTCCACCATTTTGAATTTTTCTAAATCTTTACTTTAAATTCAAGCYAATAAAAAGCACAAGAGTTTTGAGGATTTTGAGATAAATTTATGGATGACGATTATTTTTACACGTGTCTGTTTTTGATTGGTCAAAACCTTGTGACGAAATTAGGATCGCTCCATGATTCTGATTGGTTGAAAACTCGTGACAAAATGAGGATCGTGATTCTGGTTGGTTAACATACCTTCTAAGTGTACGTTTGAATAATTTATTTTATAGTTTATGCTGTAAAATTAGAAACTTCCGTTAGTACAATAAAATGAGGATGTTATTTGATTGGAAATAAAAATGCAGTAAGCAATTATTTGAGCTCACAGTCAGGGGATTTTTAAATAATCAAGCTAAAGTGTCGACACAATTAACTTAATCTTCCCTGGACGTGAACTATCTAACAAACGAACGTTAATCTTTCTAGAAAACTCGTTCAATGATGATGTTGTGCCGTCAAAGAAACGCATGTCCCCTGGTGAGAGAATTATGATTGTATAAAGCAATCAATAATCGAATTTCTTCGTAGAGATCTTTGTGACATTGAGTTATCCGGCATAGAAAAATGAATCTTTAAGTAAAATATTTACCATAACTAATTTAGTTTGATTTCCAAAACATTCTGATCTGTAAATGGCTAGAAAGGTTATGCTAACTTAACTCTCTTCTCCAGAATAAAAGAAAGAAAGAAAGAAAGAAAGGAAGAAACAAACAAACAAAAACAAAACAAAGCAAAACAAAACAAGCAAAAACAAAACGAAACAAAAAATTACAACAAACAAACAAACAAACAAAAAAAAGCGCGAGATTAGCGATCATTGACCCAAACAAAATGGTAG